CAGGGACAGGGGCCCGCAGCGCTGAGGAGGGACCTGTGCCTGCCTCGTCCTGCCTCGTCCTGCCGGGAGGGGACACCCCGCCAGCCCCGTGCTGCGGACACCACCTCCCAGTGCCGCACCTCGCCCGGCTCCTTCCTCACCATCACCTTCTGCTTTGCTTGCAGGAGCCTGATGCCACGAACGCTCGACAGCCAGATCACAGTGGAGAAGACCCCCAGCTACTTCGTCACCAAGGAGGCACCACGGCGAATCTTCAACATGTCCCGGGACACGAAGCTGATCGTGGTGGTGAGGAACCCGGTTACCCGGGCCATCTCAGACTACACGCAGACTCTCTCCAAGAAGCCGGACATCCCCACCTTTGAGGGGCTGTCCTTCCGCAACCGCAGCCTGGGGCTGGTGGACACGTCCTGGAACGCCATCCGCATCGGGATGTACGCCGTGCACCTGGAGAGCTGGCTCCAGTACTTCCCCCTCTCCCAGATCCACTTTGTCAGTGGGGAGAAGCTGATCACGGACCCAGCTGGGGAGATGGGCAAAGTTCAGGACTTCCTGGGCATCAAACGGGTTATCACAGACAAGCACTTCTACTTCAACAAAACAAAAGGTTTTCCTTGCCTGAAGAAGTCGGAGAGCAGCAGCTTGCCTCGCTGCCTGGGCAAGTCCAAAGGCAGGACTCACGTGCAGATAGACCCCGAGGTGATCGAGCAGCTTCGGGACTTTTATAGACCTTATAACATCAAATTCTATGAAACCGTTGGGCAGGACTTCAGGTGGGAATAAGCGTCTGGGAGCAGGGCCGTGGTGACACGAGGCTGCAGTCTTCCATAAGGGGGGCCCAGGGGAGCTGGTGCCAGGACCCCCTGGCCAGCCCGTCCTGCCCGGAATCTGTGAGCAGGGGCAGGCAAGGGGCTTCCCCAGCCCCCGTGAGGCCGGGATGCTCCAGGGCAAACCGAGACCGGGGAAGAGACGGAGTCCTGCTGCCGCCACCGAGGATGCGTGCCCAGCAGGCACCGCCCGTCCCGGCAGGGCACGTCCCGGCAGGTCAGCAGTGCCGCGGCTCACTCCGTGGGGTCCCATTTGCTTTCACCGCTGCGCGGTCCCTGGGGCCACAGTGATGGCCCCATCTTGCAGCCCATTTGCAGGCTGCTCCAAGGCACATCCCTCCTCTGCGTCCCAAAGCAAACCAGCACT